TCCTCCTCCTCCTCCTCCTTCTTCTTCTTCTTCTTCTTCTTCTTCTTCTTCTTCTTCTTCTATAGTTCTGGGTAAAGGCAAACAAGTAACCATTTGTTGTGGCTTCTAGGAGGTGGGTGGATACTTCAGTCAAGTTTCCCCACTGAAGAATCCCCAAGAACCTTTCCCCAGATCTCAAAATATATTAATATTAAATGCACAACGATTTCCGATTATGGCTAGCAAGCCTTTTGGGACAGAGGGGTGGTCTAGTCTAAATGTGTCTTGAAAACACTGGTTTGGAAAGGTAGGTCTGTAGTTGGACATGTGACTGTACTGATCTTTTTAGTTCATGAGCAAAAAACCTTGGGTTGGTTAGTAGGAGAGCAGTGAATCTCACCCAGTTCAGCTGAGGATCACATTCGGAACAGGACTGATCTTCTGGCCCTTTCTGTTCTCTTCCCAGGGAGCAGGAACCAAAGACCGGACTCTCATACGCATCATGGTCTCACGTAGTGAAGTTGATTTGCTGGATATACGGCAGGAATACAAAAGAATGTATGGGAAATCTCTCTACACAGACATTGCGGTAAGGCTTTGAGGGTCAAGTTTCCATCCAGACTCCATCTTTGGGTGCCAGCTTAGAATATCAACCTATCAGTTGCTTAACTAGAAAGGCTGCCTTTTACAGCGAAGACACATTGTCTGTGTTCACACAATATGCTTAAAATGTCAGGAAAAGATACGGAAGCTGCATTTAATTGGTCAAGCTTGCTTCTCTGTCAGTGGAGATTTTTAAGGAGAGAAGGGATGGCCACCTCTTAGAGGTGGTTGTTTTCCTGCACGTTGTAGAGGGTTGGATCAGATTATCGTCATGATTCCTTCCCACCCCACAATTTTATGATTCTATAATTGGGTGGTAAATGTTAACCTTGATTAGTTATTTTTTGGTCCATTTGGTTATTTTAGGTCCTCTCCCTTAAATGCTGTCATCCGATGGGACTTAGGAAATTAGACTTTTCTATAATTGCACCTATCTTGTGGAACAGCCTCCCCACTGAAGCTGTTTTACCCTCCTTGCCTTCTTGAAGGCCATCAAGACCTCATTTCTCCCCAGGCTCTGGGTCTGGAATGGAGGGCAGTCCGGCATTTGTAGTTTTGTGATGGGACTGTTATGGCACTTGGTGCTATGAGAGAGCTTTTCAGTTTTTGTATTGTTATTCGTTTATCTATTGTTAGCCACCCAGAGTTAGTTATATAATATGGGTGACCATACAAATCTTTTAAATAAATAACAAAAGTATGGTTCAGTATATTGGGCAGTCTGAGAAAAATGGATTTAATTCATTAATCAGTAAAAATGTGTTGTGTTGGGATTTGGGGATTCTAGTACATAAAATGCTAACAGCTAGAAGAGACCTGATGTTAGAATGGCAGTTCACAAAATTCCAGTTGCAGTAGTAAAATATGGTGAGTGGGACTGATTTTATAATGCAGCTGTATATTTATGGAATCAGCAGGTGGAGTCTCCATCAAAGTGAACAGAATGGAATGAAAAGTAAAAATGGCGAAATGATTTGGGATGAAAATATATCTGGTAGTATTTGGAGATTTGTCTGGGAATCACAGTGAAATGCAGAAGTGTAGAATTGAAACAGAAATTATGCGTATTAGTGTCTAAGGGGAAAAAGTACAAAGGAAGCCATAAGTAAGGCTGCAGGTGTAGACAGTATAATTGGGGAGATGTTAAAATACGAATGTGTTTGCTTGTGGCATCACTGTGTGACTTGTTTAACCTGTATATAAAGCCTTCATCTGTGCCTGAAGATTACAAGAACGTTGTTATTCCCGTCTCTAAAGGAAAGGGAGCAACAGGCTAGTAACTCTGGTATCCAGTTGCATCTTTCTTACCATTCCTGTTTAGCAAATCCTGCTTTTAAGAGATATGTTTGCTGGCCAGCAGTTCTGTTCCACTGCCTCACTTTTCTTTTTTCCTCCCCTTTCCTTTCTGGGGTTTTGTTTTTGTTTTATTCTCAGGGTGACACTTCAGGGGACTACCGGAAAATCCTGCTCAAGCTGTGTGGCGGGAATGACTAGGCGGAGCATCTGGAATTTTAGAGTGTTTGTTTGAGAGTCTCAGCTGGCTTTATCTTCTCCTTTCACAAAGCTGTCAATTTGCTGGATCGGACTGAGTTGCCGTTTCTTAATATATCCCATTCTCTAAAGGTATATAATAAATACAGGAAAAAATATAGAGAGAAAAGGCTGCTGTAGTGGACAGCTAGAGATTATTTGTTGCATTCTTAGAGAAATTATTTCTATGCAAATGGTGCATTTGAGAAATGCCCCCTTTAGAGTACAGAAGGGTTCTGTATGGTTTTGTGTGCAATTTTTTTCTCTATCTGTATGAACTTTTATTCGTTTGTTTGTGAACTGTGTGGAGTTTTTTTAATTATTAATCTGAATCAAAAGTGCCTGCTCTGAAATGCAATGGGGTTGATTCTCAAAGGTCTTTATTTTATTACTGTCCTAGGGGAAAAAATGCATCTGGTTGATGGCATGGGAAAAATAACTTTTGCATTCATTGGAATGTGGGATTTTCCTAATCCAATTCTCTCCCCTTTACTTTAAAGAGAAGGGAATTTGGCCAGTGGCAAACTCAGGGCCAAGCTTGATCACTGATCAAGCCTATGCATCATTTGAATGATTCATTGGAGCATGCCAATGATGCTTTTATTTCTGATATCAATATCAGTATTGGACGACATCATTTTTATTGGGACAATGAAAAGGGAAGAAGAGTTAAATCGCTTCCTGCATGCTGGGAAAATTCTCTTATCTTCCATCCTGTTGATCAGTTTTTTAAAAGAGATATCAACAGCACGCGAAGTCTTTGGGAAGTCTTCCAGTCCAGTAACCCATTCACTCATTTCTTGCTTGCTTGAGTGCTTTCTCTGGAACACAGGTTGGTTATGAAATCCTACTGTTCAGGCAACTCCACTTGCAGGGATTTGGGTTTGCAAATAATTTGTAATAGGATCTGAATTGAGTGTCTGCATTTAAGAGGGGCTGGAGCATTCCCCACCCTGTTCTTCACAGAAATAGATCCCCAAAAATATATCCCTTGATTTTAGGGCTCAGCCCTATTCAGTTGCCTCTTTCTCTCTTTCCTTATGGACTACGTGTTGCTCAAATTGTGCTAGAATTGATTGCCTGCTTTCTACAGGAGTGCGTGCCAAACCTTTCTCTATCAGTGATTGAGTTACTCCTTTCAAATCAAACATATGTAATCGTTTTTTTTTTAAAAAGCATATTTGTTTAAATAAAACTATCTATCTTCTCAGTTTGTTGCAGCACTTATTTTTGCCATGTGTCCAGGGACATAGATTCTCGCATGACAGCACCGTTGCAACACTTAATTGGGCTGCTTCATTTGTTACTCTGGCTAAGCCATTTATGAGCTCTCGTTTTGGACTGACAGGCATATCATGATAGAGTCTCCGTTTCCCAAATAAATCTTGCAGCAGAACTCGGTTTGCATAAGAGAAATGACACACAGATGAGTAATTCTTCTGTGGCTGATGATGGTTCCATCTGCTTTCTCCTTGCACTCCCACTTTAGAAAAATGGCAAAGGCCAAGTCTGCTGGAGCAGAATATTGAAATGCCAATTGATGGCTCTGTATCCTGCTTCCAGCGTTGGTCAAATCCAGCTGTTTAAGAACACTTACACCCAGAGGCAGCCAAACTTAGTTTTGGCTGACACTCCATAAATGGAATCCAGGGCCTGAGAAAATGTCGCTTTAAGGTCACCCTGTAGCTTGTGCTCTAAATTCTCTTGTGCTTCTGGTTCATGTTGAGTTTGCAAACAGCTTGATCCAATGAATTGTTCCATCTTGTCCAGCGTTTGGCTTCAGTTCCTCACAGAGGCCATCTGGGTGCTTCTGAGAAGAAGAGCATAAACAGCAAAACAATGTACTTAAGAGTGTTGCTGCTTTCATGAATTTGTGCCTTGCACTTATTTGCCAAGAATGCCATGGGCATCTAGCTGGGATTCATGCTGCTTTGGCCAAGCAAACAAATAGTTCGGTGCTACTCATTTTTAAACTGTTCCCATCTAACATGAGAGATGAAAACACAGGCAAATGGGCCTTTCTTTGTTTATGCCTAAAAATGACCCTGCTTCCATCATTGTCCCAACCTAGCTGTTTTGGAACAGCAAGCAAGCCAGAGATCAAAACTAGGTCTGTGCTCAGACTAGCAGTGGCTGGGAAGGGAGGCAGGAGAGAGATCGGCTATGGGGGCAGCAAATTTTGCACTGGGGGAGCTTCCTGCTGGGAGTGGGCAGAGAGTTCTTCAGCTCATCAGTGAGGAAAGGCCTAAAGCATCTGACTATCGAGTCCTCTATTGGATTAGGACTTCTGTGGTGCAGAACCCATGCTGCAATGAACGTTGAATCATGAGGCATTCATTATGGGTCTGGTGAAGATCTCGATCAATGCTGCAAGAAGAAGGGGAACGTTTAGCCTCACTCACTACCTTAGACTGATGGCACAATGGAAAAAAAGAACTTCTAGGTTTAAGAAACCAAATAAATCATTCAGATTGGATGCTTCTTCGTATTCCCTCCAAATGGCATTTTCCATGTGTATTGAACTCCAATTCCCATCACTCTTAGCCATCAAGGCTGTTGCTTGTGTGAATTGTAGACCGACACAACCACAGGACTCTAGTCGAGAAATAACTTACGGAGCAGTAAGGAAGAAGAGGACCCTGAAACCACTTCTTTTCATAACGTCAGTGGACATTATGGGCAGTGGACAATGTTGACCTTGTACTTCCAACACCATGTTCTATATCCTTTCTGAGAGAGAGATGAGTCAGTTGACTGGCCAAATATTGACTAATGGGTGCCTATGATTTGGAGGCAAAAATTTCAGAGAGACAAAATGTCTTTGTACAAATGTAGATTCTACTATGAGTCCCCCTTCTTCACTCCCCAGCAGTGGGATCAGGATCCTGCATAGACCCACATGTATCTCGGGAGCAGAAAGCTACTCTTCCCAACCCCAGAATAAAATCAGAACAACTTATGTCTGCTGACGCCAGTTTCCACCATGGCCAGTCTGATACTTCCAGGAAGAAGACCTCAGCAACTTCCCAAATGTGCCCTATCAACTAATACTCCAATTTAAGCAATGGACTGAGATCTGGGTGTGCATTTTGGAGATGTGGCACAAGCACTTTACATACCAGCTACCTCTGGAACGCAATAGCCTAGAAGCCCGCCTGATGATAGTGGGGGAGGCTTTCCACATGCTCTGGAAGAGGGAAAGTATGGACTAGTAAGATCTGAGCAAGGGGGAACGTGAATTTGTACCTGCATTTTTGCATGACCCATGTAATATTTTAATAGCTCTTTAAGGCATATGAAAAGGTCACACAAACTAGGAAAGATAGAAGTGCAATGCAGGGAAGGCAGTCTAACCAATATTGGCCAATCCCAAATGGCTATTTGTCCAAAGGCCAACCAGGGGACAAGTTTTCCAAGTTCAGCAATTCCAAGTGTCTGTCTCTTTGTTTCCTTTTGAACCATCTTGGGCCAAGAACATTCTAGTTTCTGTGGTAGAAGGTTTGGCTTTCTAGCAAAATCCGTTTGAACAATTTTAGCAAGATTGGTGTCAATATTTTCCTGTTAGCCTCTGACCTGAATCCAAGACTTTCTTCTGGAGCTCATTTTTATCTTTTTTTTTTTTCCTTGCATTTTGAATAAAGGCAGAATTATTTTACCAATCTGATCGTCTGGGATTTTTTGTTTCCAGCTTCCCAGTCTAATTTTAGTGGTCTCCTATCCAAGGGCTAACCAGACCCCACCTTGCTTACTCTACAAGCCCAGAAGACATCAGCCGGTGCTGCTACCACCTGTTGACACTTTTGTACTGACATGACAAAACTTGTACTCAGCACTGCTGTCCATCTCAACACTTTATAGACCAGCTTGGTTTCAAAGTTGATGCAACAACAAAGGGCAACTTGAAGGCTGACTCTGGTGGTGTATTAAGTTCAGAGTCTGGGTTTTCAGTCCATCGTCTGGAAGCTCAACTAGGATCTAGAAAGAGAAAGAGAGGTTGGGTTGATAACGTCTTCAGACATAGAAAAGGCAACGATTGCTGACAAAAGAGAGCAATAGGCTACATTCAGTCTGGCCTTTCCAATAACCAAGGAAAAAAAAGGGGGTGACTTCTGCCATTTGCTCTTTCCTCCCCACCCACTTTGCGTGCTATCCCAGAGGTACAGACACTTTTTGAAGCAGATTTTCAGAGGCAAAGCAACATAATGAACATCAGCCCTCATATCTTTCCATTTGCTAAAACCTTTTTTTAAAAAAAAAAGATGGCGTCAAGTGAAGTTCAACTCCTGATGGCCACATAGACACATCCTGGCAATAGTGTAGAAGCTGTTTGCAATTGTGTTCCTCCAGGATGTTCTTTCACCTTTCCAGTCTAGCCTATAATGCTAGGAATTCCTTGTAGTCTTCTGTCCAAATACAGGTGTGACCCAGCTTAGCCTCTGGGCCGAAAATCAGTTATTTTATTATCAAAGGACATTTCATTCATGGAATGGGGAAGGAATTCTTATGTTCCTATCCCTGTATTTAATGGTGCCTGGATATTCCTGTCCCCATTTAGCTTATGGTATTTATGTATTTAAACACAATAGCCTTGATTGCTGACAATCTCCTCAAATGTATGCCATGATTACTCCCTTATGACATATATAATCCCAGAGTTGCTCTATCAATCTTTGATTCACAAACTGAATGTCTCCTTAAACTGCAAAATTCTCAAGGATGCTGATCACAGGTGAGCTTACAACTGTCCCCACCCAAATTGGACGCAGCGTCAAACTGTCAGAATAACAATCAGCACATTGGCACTCATGCTTTCAAAGACTGACTATCCTGCATTATCCTGGGTTCTTCTGGACACAGAGAAGCCCAGATATCTGTACCCTTTACCAGTTAGGTAAACAATTCTTTGTCAAATGTATGTGCATGCTGATCTTTAATTTCTGTAACCCTATATAAGGACTCTGTTGTCCTCAGTGACAGTGACTCAATGTCACTGGCTAGCTTGAATAAAAGGATCATTGGAGCCTCTCTGGTTATGGATGTGTTCGTAAATGATTTTTTTCCCCCAACACACAAAAAGACAGTGTTGGAGGAATGCAGACTTTAATATAGTATATAACAATATATGATGATTTTGGTCTGAGGATAAAGAAGCCAGTATGTTCCCACCACCTCAGTCCTACGTTAGACAGAAGGAGTGTAATTATGCACCCTGGTCCTATTTCAACAAGCCTTTTTTGGATGGTACTTTCTTTGTTTTTCCAGTATTTTTATTGCATTTTGTAAGCTACCCAGAGTCATAACAGATTGGGGTGGCCTATAAATAAATAAGCAAATAAATAAAATTTCCCAAATGGTATTTGGTGCAGAACCAAATGGAACCACTTGGAGACCACAAAGGGAGTGTGGGAGGAAGTAGAATTGTGAAATAAGAGAACCATCTGGTCCAATGTATTTATACTCAATTGTAAATTGAATTTAGCGCTCAGTCTCAGCTTGGTGCTGCCCTCGTGTGTTGATGTCCTTGTCCCATTCCCAGTTGGCATTCACAATTGTTGTATTTGCTGCTGGAGGTAATAAGCAGCACCTTTGAAGAGCATCATTGGGGAAGAGGAAATTGCATAAAACATTTATTATTTATATATATATATAAATTAATTAATTTATATATATATTAATTAATTATGGCTTTCTTTTCTGTCCTT